CAATTGCCACCACCGATCGCGGTTTTTTTTTTGGGGGGGGGGGCACTTGGGGCGGCAGAAATGCTGGAGCCAGCCCTGTGGCCAGCGCTAGTCTACAAACAATTCCGATCAGCATGATCTGGCCCACTTTGCAATCGCTGTCATGACCTGGCAGCTCCCTGATGCAGGGTCCCCGCACCAGGCTGTCAAAGCACCAGCACTTTAGTGCAATGCCCCAGCACAGCCGATACCTTGACTCCTCCATCCTTGCTGGGTTCCTGGGCCTTGCTTATCCACAGGTTGATGCGAGATGACACCACGCCAGGGAGCCTCAAATTCTCCTGCCACAACAGGACCAGAGTTAAGACTGCATGTTACCCACCACTGGAACACAGCCACCTCTGGGTTGCAACATGGCTTAGCACGAGCTGCAATGGTGACCATGCCCCTCACTTCCTGTGCTAAACAAGAGGAACTCAGAGGGCAGGGCGCCACCTGCTGACCAGTGTGAAGCCTTCTAGAATGCACCATTTGGAAGATGCCTCGGCCAGCTTTTACCCCCCTTGCTGCAGGGGAGCCCTTGGCCATGCAGCCAGCCTGGGGAGCTGCAAAGGAAATGCACACCTGCCACATGGGATCCCAGCCAGCAGCCGCTAGGAGGAGGATCCACCAGGGCATGCAGCCACCCAGCCTCTGCCTGCAGGTGCCACTGAGCTGAGGGACCAGCTGTGTCAGTTCTGCACCCTGAGGGTTGCTCCACCTCAAGTCTCCCCCACCATCTGCCCAGTGTCCCCTACCTGAAGATGGGGGTGGGGATTTTCAAATGGAGGGACTCATGGGGGTCCCTCCCCCAGTCCATGCTCAGTCCCACCTCAGCCCTCACCTTTCTGACGGGGGCTGGATCAGCTTTGCTGGGGGCATTGGCCTCGAAGATGCTGCGCTTGCTGGCCACACCCTCCAAGGAGGGGAGAAAACCTCTCGGCATGGTCACCGGGGACTTCACCTCGGATCGCTAGGAGCAGAGAGACAGGATCCATCTGTGTTAGAGCCCTAGATTCATGTAGGGGGCCTGGTCTGGTCCTGCCAAGGCTGACCTCCCACCCCCCACTCCTCAGGGGTTTCTCAATGCATGAATGAAGGGCAGCCCAGTTTCTCACCCCAGCCCCCTGTCATTTTCCCCTCCCCTCTTACCACATCACCTGCCTGGTGGAGGAATGTCCTCTGTCCCTTGGAAGGCCCCACTCCCTCTGTGTGAACGGCTGAGGCAGGTCCCTACTCCCCTTTGGCTAGGGCAGGTTCTTCCCCAGCCCCTGCCCTCAGCTCTGTGTGACAGACTCTCCTTGACTCCCTGTTGCTTCTCCTTCTCCCCAGGTCATACACTGCACAACCATGCAGAGCTCAGAAGCCACCCATTTCCACCAAGAGACCACAGAACTAGCTGGGCATTCACAGGGCCTGCAGGCCCAGCCCTCCCTGGCGAAGGGTCAGGGCTGGCTCCAGGGTTTTGGCCGCCCCAAGCAGCCAAACAAAAACAAAAAAAAGCCGCGATCGCGATCTGCGGTGGCAATTCGGCGGGAGGTCCTTCGCTCCGAGCAGCAGTGAGGGACCGTCCGCCAAATTGCCGCTGAACAGCTGGACATGCCACCCCTCTCCGGAGAGGCTGCCCCAAGCGCCTGCTTGGTAAGCTGGTGCCTGGAGCCGGCCCTGCCAAGGGTCCCTCCCCCATTACCTCGGGGCTCCATTTACCTGCACAGCTGAGGTGTATTTCTCCAGTTTCTCCTCGATCCGGATGCTATTGGCTGGATGTCTCACACTGGCACTGGGGAGGGGGAAGGGATGGAAAAGAGCAGAGTGAAATCCCCCAACATCCTTCATGCCATGGCAACGTCTGCCTAGTGACAGGCAGGGCTGGGGGAGGTCTATTTGGCACCAGGGGAGCCTATTCCCAGCTCTTCACTGGGAGACGATGGGGCAATTCCATTTCCCTCTCTGCCTCAGTTTCTCCCTTATAAAATGGGGATAAAAATACTTTAGCTTCACTTATCATATTACTACACTGAAGCCAGTTAAGTAGTTTTTAAGATGTCTGACATAGCCCTTTATCAAATCTGAGCACATCTTTGATGGATCCATCCTCACAAGCTGCCCTGGGGAGGCATGGCACCTCTATCATCCCCACACTGTACAGCTCCAAAACTGAGGCCACAGTGGAACAATGGGAATTAGATACCTAAATACCTTTGAGGATCTTGCCCAAGGTCATGCAGAGAATCTAGGGCAGAGCATGGAACTGAACTTGGGTCAACAAAGTCCCAGGCAAGCACCCGACACATCCTATGTCCAAAGAGCTAGAAAGCAGATGTAGGCTGTAATAGTACTTTACCTATCAGGGAACATCATGAGACCCAGATTTGCCAGACTCCCGTCTCTGGCAATTCATGACCCAAACCCAGAATCCTACCCCTGCTCTGTCCTCAAACCCAGAGTCCCAGCTTCCACCTTCATCAGATCCAGAACACAGATGACCAGGGTCAAGCGACACCATCGCAACAATTGCTTCTGCCAGGATTCTCTGGGTCCTTCGGGGATAACGAAGGCCCCGTACCTCTTCACATTGTGTTGTGTCTCCAATTCCCTCCAGCTGGAGAGGGAATCGCGACCCCCAGTGATCAGTGAGAGAACTTCTCCATTATATTTATGTACTCATTGCACAGGTGTAATTAGTACAGTCACAAAATGGTGGTGAATGCACATTGTCAAACGGCAATATACGCACATGACAACTTTGGCTCATACCAACTAATTCAAACATCTCCATCTCTCTCCCAGTTGTTTGGGGACCACTTCCCTGACTCCCCAGCCTCTTACTGCCCCAGTATCTGCTCTCTACTCAGCTAAGCTGCATGTCAGCTCCCTGATACACCAGCCTCTCTGCCCAGCCAGCTGTTTCCACCCCAGGAGTCATTTATGGGGCTGAAATGAGGCAAAAAAATCTGGAATTTTTTGGGTGTTTCCTGGATAGAGGTGATTTGATCTTGGGTTTGTTTCATTGGAAGAGAAATCAACTTCATGTTTGTCTGGTTCCCTCCTGTTTTCAGAGGAAGCTCTTTCTCCCTCCCCTCCCCCCCCCCCATTTTTTCTGCATTGTCCTCAGTGCAGGACTTCCCCCTCACTGATATTCAGTATTTGATAAAGTCAAGGGACCCCCATTCTGATCTCACATCAGTTTTATTCCAGTAGAGACCCATTGAGGATGGAGTTTCTCCTGATTTACAGTAGGGTGAGACAGGAGAACTGAGCCCAGGGAGGAGAGACTTTACTAAAAGAAGTCTTCTGCTTTGGTCAGTTTCAACCCAAGAAGTTCGAATATGGATCCACTTCTGGAAGGAGCACAGCTGAGGTGTCACCACTCGAGCCAAGCGCACAGCACATTTGCTATTTGCCTAATACTATTTCCCGTTCTCTGGCAGTGCACAGACTACGAGCCTGGATTCTAGTGCCATGGAAGTCAATGGGAGTTTTGCCAGCCACTTCCATGGGAGCAGGACCAGGTCACCATAGACAACCACTCCAGCGAAGCCAAATGACAACACACCACACAATGATGCACTGAGGGCAGGTCTCCTGCAAGGGGAACACCCCCAAATTCCACAAGAGGTCTTTGACTCTGGACAGGCCCTGCCACACAAAGAGGTGCTGGGGTAAACTTTGCATAGGGTTGAAATGCCAAGGTGCAGTCTGGGCCTGGTTAGTAGGAAGCACTAATAGGGGTCTGATCAGTAGGGCTACAGTATAAGCCAATAGACAATAAAACTGGAGGACTCAGCATATTTTGTCTCTGTCTATCTGGATCTTCTCACCAGGGCCATCCAAACACCCCCTCCTCATGTACAACAGTGAGGCCTAATGAACAAAGAGGTGGGGGGAAGAGATCTGAATTCTATTTCTGGAGCAGGAGCAATCACTAGATTTGCTGTGCAAGTCCAGGGAAGCGAGGATACCCATCATCAGAGGTGGTGTACTAGGATTAATTCATTAAAGTTTGGGGCTTGCTTTGAGATCTTTGGATGGCCGCTGGTGGGGGAAGGTCAGAGTGATTAGCAGCTTTGTGACATTACCAGAAATACAAGTAAAACCCACTGACCTTCTGGTTAATGCATTTTCTTCCTTGTCTTTTCTAGAGATCACCTGGAAATGCAAGCAAGGGAGATGAGACATGGAACAATGGGAGGGCACGAGATGGGCTGGGAGAAGGCCCCCTTCCTAGGGCTGGGGATGAGCAGGGCTGTGTGAACTTTCCCCATGTCTCCCAGAGTTCAGACATTCACCCTAGCACAGAGCAACATTTGGTGGCTTCTCTGAGCCACGTGAGCAATCTGTACTGGCAACCTTGGAGTCCAGAACCCCTTCTGCTTCAGATCCCAATGGGGACCATGGAGCACCGGGGGGAGGGGGGAGAGAAGGAGGAGAGAAGAAGGTGTCTCAAACATGACAGAAAAGTTCCCAACGTCTTCAGACTTCAGGAAAGGTTTGGTCTGAGTGAAAGTGTGGGTCGGTTCTAATCACTTCTGAACCTGGTCCCCTCCCCTTGGGGCTGGCTAAAGTACGGTGGAACCCTGGACCAAGAACATGTTCAGTTTCCACCCTGCGCCAGAGATTCTCTCATCAGTCTATTCCCTCCTCCACAGCCCATGCATATCTCCATCCCTTTGGTCTCACCATTTCTCTTGCCTTCCTCCCCTGCCCTCAAATGTCCCCTCTTTCTTCCTTCACGGCAAGCGCCCTCCCCACCCCCCAAATCTCCTGACCAGCCTGCCTCATCCTCCTGCCCCGTGATCCCAGAGAACAAGAACCTTCTGGCAAGACGTCCTGATGGAGAGGTGGCATCTCTCCATCCTGTGCCGAAGGCCATCCCTGCAGAAACTGCTCTAAAACCTGCTTGGCCACAGCACCCTGACTCCGTTCCAACAGACACAGTTCCAGCTACTCTCCTTCTGGATCCAGACAATCCATCCATATGAAAACCCTTCCCAGGCAGGACTGATCCCAGCACATATGCTGGACATTTTTCAGCACAGAACAACTGCCCCCTGATCAATTCCGCAGAGCCAGACTGCCCTACAGCTTTCCTAGCTACTCAGCTTGGAAAGTCCTGGGGTCAGTACAGCGTGTGCTGCAGGAAATGCCCTTATCTGGGACAGCACGAGCAAGGAGAGGAAAGGATTATAATCCTTCATCTCCCCAAGTCTGCTAAGATCACTGCTCCGGAGGGGTGTGACCCTACGAGTCCCTCAGTGCCAACTGGCAGAGGGCCCACCATGCCATAACTTACGTCAGCCCTGGCTCACTCATTGCCGCAACATGTTTCTAAAACTTGTGTTAACTGGTGACATGTTGTCCCAAAAAAAAATCTGTGAGTGATGCGCGAATGGGTTGTGAACAAAGTTACAGATGTGTTCTGGAAACAGGTTCTTAAAAGAGGTTTTGGAGGCAGAGCCTAGACCCAGCCTGCTCTAGACAAAGGAATGCGTATTTACCTGTCTGTCCGGCTGGGGAGGCCAATGAAAGGACATTTACATATATGGTAAACAAACAATCCTCTTCCCTGCTTGATAGCTTTAACAGTCACACCTGAGGACAGAATCTGCACCTAAGGAAGCCTTCCTGGCTCAAGGCAGAGACAATGGATTTTGGGTAACATAATGGGAGCAGAAAGACATTTTAGTTATCTATCACTTAAGGCAGTGGTTCTCAACCAGAGGTCCAGGGCCCTCTGAGGGCAGCCACAAGCAGGTTTCAGGGGATCCAACAAGCAGGGACCGTGGTAGTCTTGCTGGGGCCCAGGGCAAAAACCCAAAGCCCCGCTGTGGGGGGGCTGAAGCTCAGGGCCCTGAGCCCTGCCACCTGGGGCCAAAGCCTGAGCAACTTCACTTTGCTGGGATCCCTGTGGTGTGGGGCCCAGGCAATTGCCCTGTTTGCTACCTCTCACACCAGCCCTGGCTTTTATATGTGGAAAAACAGTTGTTGTGGCAAGGGTGGGCTGTGGACTTTATAGCATGTTGGTGGGGGCCTCCGAAAGAAAAAGGTTGAGAACCCCTGACTTAGGGTGTACATAAGGGTATAGGACCCTCTGGACCTATGAAAGTTGGAGCCCCTGGTCTGGAGAGCTTGGGATGCTGGAAACTGAAGGCAAGTAAGGAAATTGCTTGGCCAAAGATTGTAACTTGCCAACGTTGAGTTGCTGTCACTAGAAAGTGCACGTAGTGGTGTTTGTAACCACAGCGGTCTCTTATTCTTGCTTAATATCACTTCAATCTCTTTGTTGATAAGCTTTCTTAGTTTTACTCTGAGCCATCTCAGTGCTGTTATACAAAGGTGAAGAGAAGCTGAGCTAAGCTAACAGATTGGTGTGTGCTCGGTGTCTTTGGAGGCAGCGAACTTAATTCCTGTGAGTATCCAGGGGGAGGCACTGGACATGGCAGGACAGTGGCTGGGGAACTTGGGGGCTGGAATTCACCATTACCTACAAGGCAATGTTTAGACTGGCCGACTCTTGAAGTGTTTGCTGGCCAGGCAGAGAGGCTGGTGGGGCAGGGAGTGGACCCACAGCTTAGCAGCAGCAAAACTCCCGCTTGCCCAGGCAGAGGGACAGCACAGCGGCTCCTGATTTGGGGGTCCTGAGCAGAATTCCGCAATGCGAAGACACAGGACAGACAAGTTGAGCAGCTGGCATGCTGTACTCGCAGACCCCTGGGGCCACTCATTGGAGCTGCACCAGGGAGGAACGTGGCCCACCCTGCAAAAGGTTCTGCCTTTTGGGGAACCTGAGGCAGAGCCAAGACCAGTGATCTGGCTGGGCACAGTCTTTTCCAGAGACTGGCAGCGCCTCTGTGGCCCATGGCACCAAGCACTTCAATTCCAGCTTCTCCAAACTTCCATGCTTCCCTGGATCCTTGTAGTGGAGCTTCCCGAGTCTCCCACACCCCGGATGGAGAACACACAACTCTGCCTCTCTAGTAAATGCTACAAGGAGATGATCTGGGAATAACCTGAGCCCAGCTGGAGCAGATTCTAAGTAACAATGGGAAGGAGAAGACCTGGACTGGATTTCTGCACCCATAGGGACTGGACTCTAGAGAGGAAAATAATCTTTGCAGGACTGCAGCACTCACATGGAAGGGCCTCTGCCCCCCTATGCTCTATCCACCTGGACTCTAGGTGCAGCCTCAAAGGAGAAAACCTGGGATTGGATCTCTGTGCCCACTGGAATGGAGTCTGCAAGCCCCCCCAACCTGCAGAGAACTGAGCAAACTACTCCTGCTGAGGACAGCTGGAGGGAGCCTCTCCCATACAGCTAGAATAAACCCAGCTTCCACTGCCTGGAGTGCCACTTTTCCCTGCCCATTTCAGCACTCACCCGGAAAGAGACCGTCCTGGGGCTGATGCGTTTGAACGAGCTGCTGTAGGTGATCTGAGTGGGGGAAGTAACCGAGGAGCCTCCGGGTCTGTCTTGGGTGGTGGGCGACCCTGCTGTTTCCTGAGCCCGCGGGGGATTCCTTGCTGTATCCTGAGGGAGGAACACACCCCCACACATCAGTCAAGAGCCAGCAGGAAGGTTTCCAGGCGTGGCTACGAGAGCCAGGAGCAACACTTGGGGGCTCAGCAGATCCACCAAGCACCTGAGCAGCCTAGACCACCGGAATCCCGACTGGACGGCCCAAACCCCAAGCTCCTCCCTAGGCCCAATCATCACTGAGGCCAATGGGGGGGGTTGCCTAGGAGAGGGCTCAAGGTTTGGCTCAATGAGGGGAAGCGGGTACTGGCACTATCTCATCTAGAGGCAGAGTTCTAGAGTTGGGGAAGTAACACCCCCACTCCCTCCTCCTCCCCCCCCCCATCCCTTTCTCCCCTTTGGCAGCACTGCTCTTTCCAGGCCCAAGTGCAGCATCACCAAGCCCAGGATCCAAGTCATGATTTTTAAATGAACACGTTCCAGGCTCTTTGCCGTTTAGCGTCAGAGCCTTTGGGTTGCACCCACTTCACGTTTTCAAGCTTTTCTCCAGAAGGTTCGATGCCAGCTCCCTTTTTAAACAGAAGCCAGGATACTCACAAAGTCACCCAGGTCCAGCTCCTCAGAGGTACCTCGTTCCCACTGAGGATCTGGGGCTTTTAGGGAAAACCCCCAAGTGTCGTGAGACTGCTGGTAAAGTGCCACGAACATGCCTCTCACCTGCTGGCTGAAGGGGCGAGTAACTGGGGAGTCTGGTTTTTGTTCTATGCGGCTTCTTCCCCTTGAGAAGACTTTCACCTCCAGGTGACTACGGTCTTTCTGCTCCTGAGCCGATCCCTGGGGCTGGCCTCCTGTCACCTCTGGCTCCTGCGGGGGCTTGTCAGCTATCAGGTCCTTCTCATCCTGAGCCAACCCCTGATGCTGTTCTCCTACCAGGATCTTCTGCTCTGGAGCCAACCCCAGACATTGTTCTGCCTTTGGGCCTGTCGGCTCTTGGGCCAGCCCCTGGTGCTGTTCCCCTGCCAGAGCTTTCCCATCCCGAGCTGACCCCCGACATGGGGCTGCCTCCAGGCGGCCTGCTCCCATGTCTGGCTCCCTGCAGTTCTCTGGCTGCTCCTTCTCCTTTCGGAGGTTTTCTGAGCTCTCCACGTGCCACCTCTGCCTCCTGATCTCTTGCGGTCTCAGCACCGCTGTGAGCTTCTGCTCAGACACCTCCTCTTCGGCCGTGGCTGCCGCTGGTGGCTCTGCTTCCTTGAGCCGCCGTAGCCTGCAGGAACAGAGAGAGGGCACTGACACCCTTGGACACCCAGGGACACTGGCAGGCTGCTTGTTAGACAGCAAGTGAATCCATCCCAGCTGAGAGAGGCCAGATTAACACCTATGGAGCCCCCCATTTTATCCCAATGCACCTTGCACATATGGTTACCCCTCTTTGAATCCCTATTCTGCAGGCATAGGCTAGGTTCCTGTGTGGTCCTATACAGCTGATGGGGGCAGAGCATTGTGAGGGCTCCATGCCCCAGATCAGCCTCCATCCCCCCCGAGAGCACTGAGCTAGCACCATGGGGAGGTAGAGCCACTTGCTCCACTCTTCTGGGAACAGCAGCCAGAGCAGCCTTAGCTTGCTCTGAAGAGGGCAGGATCCTGTCCTTCGCCTTGGGCAACAGACGAGGAAAAAGGGGGTTTGGAGAGCAGGTGGAGGAAGGTATTTATACCAGTGGATTCAAATTAAAATATAGAGGTTAAGATTTTCAGAGGAGTCCAGGGGGATTTGGATGGGTAATTTCAATGGAATGTGTCTCTCTAATTCCCCTGGACTGCTTTGAAGATCTTAGCCTTCAGCTTTGTATCATAAGCAACAGTGATTAATCATTCTATTGCATCGGTCCTCCATGGCTCTCAACAGGATTGGCGAAGTAGCATATCGTTATCCCCATTTTACACTTGGGGAAATGGAGGCACGGGGGGAGTGATTTGCCCAAGGTCACATAATGACTTGGTGGCAGAGTCAGGAACAGAACCCAGGAGTCCTGACACCCAGTCTCCTACTCTAGCCACTAGACCCTTCTGCTTCTCAGAGCCATGAATTGAACCTGGATTCCCCTGTTCTAACTGCCCCACCCCGCGGCCCTGATCCAAAACCCGTTTGATGGGAGGACTCCCACTGAGATGTGGGCTTTGGCTCTGGCCCAGCAGAGCAAGACAAGCCGGGCGGGTGTGCAGCATTCCGGCCGACGCCGGCACTGCAGTCCCAGGTAATCACCCCTCTCCTCTCCCACCTCTCCACTGCCTGCTTGTTGGGATCCTGCACAGGGGAAAGGGCTTCATCCTCAGCATCAGTGGTGGAGCTCAGGTTGCGGTCTCTCCGCCGGCGTTCTCTCGCTTGTTCCTCCTCATCCTCCAAAGTCCTCTGCCTGGCCAGGCTGCTTGGAAAGGAGACAAGGGCGTACCAGAGACAAGGGAAGTGAGGTCAACTCTTTCATTGAACCCATTTCTGCTGGTGAGAGACAAACTTGTCTCTCCCACCAGCAGAAGTGGGTCCAGTAAAAGAGATCACCCACCTTGCTGCTAATATCCTGGGACCGACATGGCTACAACAACGCTGCGTACAAGAACGTGCCAGTCAGATACCAGTGGACTGGGTCACTGTAGGAGCATAGCTACCAGGGGACCTCTCTCTGAGCTTGCAGAGAGCAAGTGATCACCCCAGGGGTCAAGGAGGAGCTGTACAGCAGCGTGCAATTGGACAGTGGCACAGCATCCCATTCAGATACACTGCAGTGTCCCGCCCCAGTGGGTATCGGCTGGGGGAGGATGGAAAACAGGAGCAGAAATACAAACTGGATTACATAGATCTAATCATTTGTGATGTGTAATCCTGACACCTACACAGGAACAGGCTACTCTAAACATTAGGAAATACCTGAATTAAGCGCTTGACTTTGAACCGTAGTGTTCCTTTAATGTACGGAAGTTACATTTTTTAAATCTTTAAGTTTGATATAAGCAAACCAGAAGTTCCATCACATGGTACCATATGGTTCCCTAGTTTTGTCATCAGCAAGGTTAGAATCTGGGCTTCCAGTCCAAGGTCTGTAGGGGAGCCCGCTCTAGTGGGTACAGACTCTTTCCCTGGCATCACACCTGCTTCTAGCAAGAAACCCTCCCTATCTCTTTCCCTCCCTGCCAACCCCACATCCCCTCCTCCCCATTTGTCTTGCAAGTCTCTGCTCCTCACTCCTCCACATTACAGGAAGGAAACTTCTTGCTTCTCCTAGGAACCAGCAGAGAGGGACATTGTGAGCACAGGAGACAGATTCCCTGCTCTCAAATCCTACACTTGGTGCTTTTTGCAGTCCTTGACAGCCAGTTGCAGAACAAGTCCTGCTCAGTCCCTGGGCTGATGCATGCTCAGTGGCGGATGGAGTATACTCATCCAGACAGTATTTTTGGAGAACAACACTGCTCACTAGAGGTTTGTTAAACTGGGATGTTGCTAGAGGCTCATAACTTGAGCAAGTTTGGGTGGATTTTCACAGGAAGAGCAACACCTACAACCCTGGCATAGAGGCCAACTCCCTGCCAAATTTCAAGACTAGAGTGCTAGAGCTTCTTAATGGAACAGTTGTAAGATTTAATTTATTTTAAAAATGGGCAAAATGTATTCTTTTCCCTCCCTGCACTGTCTCAGAAATGACTGAACCCTTTTCCCTTAAACTTACAAAAACAAAAATTCAGACAGAGGTAGGCTCCTGAGACAAAAAATTTTAGTCTGAATGGCTGAAGTATGGTAAAAAGTTACAAGCAACTAAAAAAACAAACTCTTCTAATGGAAGGTTTCAGGCAACCATCATTACCAGTTCTGCCTATAAGTAAAGGTCATTAACATTCCATCACCACACACACACACCCCAAACACAACTGAAAAATGGCTTTCCAACCAGTGAGTTTTTGCTTAAAATAAATAAATCTTTTACCAAAAGCATTTCAGTTTTTAAGCACAAACTGTAGTTCTCAGTAAAAAAAGAAAAAATTAAAGCTTTGACACCAAGAAAAACATGTTATAGTTTTTACTCCGCCCTCCCCCACTGAAGTTTTGAAATTTTCCACCAAAAATAATTGGCATATTTTTTCAGCTCACACACACACACACACACACTGTGCTGCAAATAATGCCCAAGATCATTAAAACAAAGAATTTTAAAAACCAAATTGGTTTTCCACCACAGATGCTGTTTGTTGACTTTTTGCACGACTCAGCGCAGGGCTCATCTACACAGAAAAAAGTTATAACAGTATAACCTGAGGTTTGAATTTAAACCAAGAGAACTTCTCATGTGGACACTCTTATTCTTGTGTAAGAGGGTCATTATTCAGGCTGTGTCCACACTGCCAATTGAACAACAAAAGTTTTGTCGTTCCCATGTGCTTAAAGAAGCCAGCCTCTCCTCCCTCTGCCCCGAAAGACAAAAGTTTGCCGCAGCAAGTGGCAGTGTAAACATCTCGTTGTCGGCGGGATCACTCCTGTCGACAACGCGAACCCCGCTTGTAGGGGGTGGACGAATTTTGTCGGCAAAAGTGCCAACAAACAGCGTTTACACTGCCCGACTTTTAGCAACATGGTCGTGTCGCTAAAAGCTGCTCAGTGTAGACAAAGCCTCCTTTTGGTTTATGTTGCTTTGGAAGTGGTTTAAACTGACAAAGCCACTCCAGAATAGGAGCGGCCACATAGGGAGTTATAGCAGCATAATGCAATCAGTTTAAGTAATACCAATATAATTATACCAGTTTATAACAGGTAGAACTTCCCCACACAGATAAGCCCTCAAATGATGAAATCACAAGTCAGTTTCATTTTTGCTTATAATCAATTTTCTTAATAATAAATAACATATGTAGATATACCTATGTCATAGAACTGGAAGGGGCCCCGAAAAGTCAGAGTCAGTACTCTGCCTTCACTAGCAGGACCAACTACTGATTTTGCCCCAGATGCCTAAGTGGCCCCCTCAAGGATTGAACTCACAACCCTGGGTTTAACAGGCCAATGCTCAAACCACTGAGCTATCCCTACCCACCTTTCTTTACAGAAGATCTCAGACATTTGAATAGTGTAGTCCATATCTTAATTCATCAGTGGTTACACTCACCACCTACCCTGCCATTCACACTTGTGTAATGGCCTAATGAAAACTAGACATTTAAGTGGCAATGTGGTATGGATGCATTTGTCTGCCTTTAAATGCAATGCAGTTGCAAGAAACAAGCAGGAGAGGCCAGCATCAGGTGACCAACCAGCTCTCTACAGACCACCAGCAAGTGTTTCTCTGACCAACAGCAATCCCCAGACCATAGCTGGAGTACACTGGCCTGCTCTTTTCGATTCTTATGCATTTCACAGCTTTGCAGTGTTTTGGGCTGCAACCTCTTCCTGGGAATATTACTTTTTTTTTTTAAACACAAAAGTGAGCATTTCCACTAGAGTATATTTTAAAAGGGAAGATAGTAAGACCATGGGAACAGCATGTGGTTAATGGTTTAAGTACAAGCTTGGTTTTTGCTGACTGAACTTGGGGCCCAATTTTACATTTAAAAACATTCAAGTGGAACTGGGCCCAATCCTGATCCCATTGGAGTCAGTGGGATCAGAAACAGGCCTAGCCTAGCATTAATGCCATTGCAAACCCTGTGAGTTGTAGCTGTCACACTGTGCGGGTTAATAATTGCTATGGCAGCGCTATACCTTTACACAAGTGCACATTTCCTCTCTGCCTGACTCCCCGTTCCCAGGCTGCAAGGTGTGGGGAGGGGAAGGGGAAGGCTAGAGTGACAGGGTAAGGAACAAAGCAGAAGCAGAGAGCCAGTGGGGTGGGAGGGGAGAAGAGCGTTTAAGTAGCTACAAGTCTCAGCCACAGAACTTTCAAACCTGACTTTCTAGGTAGAAAGTTACCTGTCCTCCCTTGGAAAAAGAGGAGGAGAAATGGCACCAGAATTCGACGCAAGGAACTGTATGAGCTTGTTACTGTAGCATGCATGAGTCATGCACCCTTCCCTTTGTGTGTTTTTTTTCCAGTGCAAAAAGATGGCCCCACCCTCTTTTACAATAACCCAATTCTGAAAGATACAATGTTCACTAGACATTGACACCAAACTACAGTGATTCATAGCCAGATTTAAATCTACCGGCATTCGCTCCTGTAGCCCTTGCACTTTGGAAGCAAGTTGACCCGCCTGCCTCACCATCCTTAATTAAAAGAAGAAAACAAAAGCCAGCTTCTGTGTAATCCTTCTGATGGTGCTTTGCATGTCTTCGAATTACTGCACACACAGCTAGGTTTCCAGGCTGCATTTTGGGCCTGATCCCAATCCCATGGAGATCACTGGGCTTTAGATCAGGCCTTCTGTGCTCACAATCAGTTGATTAGATGTGCAAAATTGTGCTGTACTGCACAGGATGTTATAGTCATTGTACTGATCTCCAGTTACATATTTAGGTCCTGCAAGCATTTGTGCACCTGCTAAACTTGACTAGTATTGACTTGACATTGTTGCCAAGTAGATAGAGTGCCGGCATGGGACTCAGGAGATCTAGATTCTATTCCCAGCTCTGCCACTAGCTTTTGGGTGACCTTGGGCAAGGTCACCTTCCTTTGCCTCAGTTTCCCCACCTGTAAAATGGCGATAATATTACTGACCTCCTTTGTAAAGCACTTGGAGATCTATGATAGAGCTAGGTATTAGTAGTAGTAGTTGCAGCTGTGATCAAGTTAAGCATGTGCATAAGCTTTTGCAGGATTGGAGCCTTAACTAGAAGGCTCTTAGAAAGAAATCCACCCCTCTGTAGAGGGCCAGAACCCGCTCTATGGTGCACTTACAGATCTACCTAAGCTTATATTAGAGCTGGCTGAAAATTTTTGCATGAAAAGTTTGTCCAAGATCTTTTTTTAAATTGAATCTTCTTAACATTTTTCCTCCCAAGATGCTTTCCCCCACCCCACAAATATACTTAATCATATTTTAGAAATGGTTTTCAAAAGTCTCTCTTGTACCAAAGCCTTCATTCGGGGTTTTCGGTAAGATTCAAAAGCAATTTAAATATAAATATTGATGATTTTATTAATAAGTTATTTTGGTAGAACTATAATGGACAATGTCACACACAAGAGAGACTTCAAATGGGTCAGTTTCAAACCCTGCCAAGTGGAAATAATTTCTAAATGTTGATTTTTGTGAAACTGTTTTCCCAGTTATTGACCAGTTTCTGATGGATTATTTAAGTGGAGTGTGGGGCTTTTCCTGGTTCTCTGCACATGGGTACATTTCACCTTTTATCAATGAAAATAAGCTGGTTGTATTTTGTACGTCTTTTAACCCCACAGAGCCAAAGTGGCTGTTGATAAGTGAGCTGTATTCTGTTCTGGCTCATGCATCATCAAGAGAATTATTAACTATAGCTGATTAAATAATCCACAATGGATTACACTATTCAATGCATCTTTTATTTCCCCTCTCCCCCATTCTATTTTAAGAATATCCAAATTATTCATTATCAGAAAGATTTTTGCAAATTTTTGCCATGCATAATTCTTAGTCCATAGATACAATTCATGAACAGTCAACACATGGGTTATCTCCCCCTTTAGCTGCTGCTATAGGGGTGCTGCTGTAACAATTTCTATAGCGTGGGGGGGGGGGCTAAGAGCCATTGAACCAAACTGCAAACCCTGGATAGAATGGAAACCACTTCAAGCCACCCCCCCCCAGTACCCCTAATTCCAGCATTATCTACGGCTACTTGTCCTTTTGAAGCTCAACAGCCACCTAGGCTCTGCAGGGCTGGCTTTGTCCTACCCAACTTGAAGTCACACCGGCTGCTATCCTTGCCTGTTCCTCTTACATCCCCACCTGTCCGACGCTAACAGCCTTCCTTTCCCCTGAGCCCACCCCACCTCACCCCCCTGGAGGGGCCAGAAAGCATTAACCATTAAACCACAGCACCTACCTAGAGAGCGCAGACCAGTTCTTCCTGTTGAAAGACATCCCGGCTCTCCAGACATCAACACAGGTTCAAACCCCACTCTGCAGAGATCCCTAGCGACAGCAAGGCACAGATTTGAGATGTCTGGGGGAACTGGAAAGGGGACTCCTGCACCTTCCCTCCTGCTTTACTTCCCTATGCACCTTTACCCTGCCTGCAGACCATTTACTGCCGGGGTGTGTCACATGGTCTCTTATCTACCTTGACAGACACTGAGAGCTGTAATTTGTCTATTAGCAGCACCTTACAAAAGGCACCCTGCGCGGGCGTGACCCAGCTTCTGCCCGAGCAAACCACTCTTGGCTGGCCACTTGGTCTGGGTTCAGCCCCCTGTGCTCGGTGCACCAGCCATCCAAGTTGCCCTGGTTTTCAGGGGCGACTCTCTGCTCAGAAGCCTGTTCTACCAGCCTCTTGCTCTCTGTCCTCAATTCCCTCTCTCGATTGAGTGTGTAGGAAAGGTGGAATTCCCTCCAGGTGGGTGGGAGGAGGCATAGTCAATCAGTCACCTGGCTCCCCACCCATTTAACCAGGACAGGCAGCCTCCAACGCAGGGGCTTTCAGAAGATGCAGTTAAAGGGACTCCCAAATCTAGTCAGTTTCAAAAGCTGAGCTCAGAGCCCTTGCGGGGGCTGCCCATGTGTGTGGTTTAACAATCACATCTTCCTATTATTTAGGGGGTTTGCTCCCCTGTGATTGTATAAAAACCCACAGGAACTAACTCAGCAGCTATGCAGGAGAAGCAGGGAAGCTGAGGATACACCAGAACACAAAGGATTTGACTTTATTAATGGTCCACCCAGTCCAGTATCCTGTCTCTGACAGTGGCCAGTAGGAGCTGCTTCAGGGTAGGGTTACCAGACAGCAAGTGTGAAAAATTGGGACAGGGGGTGGGGAGTAATAGGAGCCTAAATAAGAAAAAGCCCCCAAAATCAGGACTGTCCCTATAAAATCAGGACATCTGGTCACCCTACTTCAGGGGGACACTCAAGGAATCCCAGTCTTGGACAGTTATGGAATAACCAACCCTCAGGAGAAATTGCTTCCCCCTCACAGATAGATGCCTAAATACCTCTGCATCTGGGCCTAACTCCCATTGGGAATTTCCAAAGAGCTCAGCTTCCACTTTGACAGCTGAATAAAATGGCCACGTTTTGAAAAGTACCAAGCATCTCTCATTGTTCTCAATGGGGGTGGGGCATGTTCTCTATTGTTCTCAATATGAGTGTGGAAAGCCTCAGTGGATGCTGGACTTTATTGAAAATCTGGCCCTCTGTGGTTGATTTATTCCCAGGGGCATCAGGGTTTACATTATTTACATATTTTTATCCTGTCTACAATAACTTGCACTTGTTATCCATATCCATGTCTATTCTCTCTGGAACCCTCTTGGCCTCAGTGGCATCTTGTGGCAGTGAGTCCCACAGGTTAACTGTGCATGGAGGGGAAAAGTAATATAATAAATAAAACTAAATAAATATTTCAATCCCTTTCAAATCTGCAGCTTTTGGATTATCAGAACCAAACTATCTACGCCCCTTGGGTTTGCAATCAGGGTGGTTGGCTCCTGAGAACAGGTGTTTTCTCCTTGAGACTTGCAGAATACCTGTCTCCCAGCCAGAGGAGCGCAACCTTGAGATTGTGGCCCGCATACTGGCCTGTGACTTGTGGGACCTAGGTTCAAATCCTAGTTCTGCTACAAATTCCCTGTAGGACCTTTGGCAAGTCACTTATGTTAGGATTTTCAAGGGGAACCCCAGGAAATTAGGCCTAAATCCTGACAGGTATTTAGACACCCAACTTCCATTGAAATCTGGGCCTTACTGTCTAAAGCTCCTAGGAATTCAATAGTAATTAGGTACCTAAATCCTGTAGACACATCAAAAATCTCTCAGCTCCCTGAGCTGTAAAATGAGGACAATAGCCCTTCTATATCTCTCAGGGTGGCTGTGGACATCAATCCATGAATGTTTGCAAAGTGCTCAGATGCTACACGGTGCTGGGCATTCCTATCCAGCACAGCTTGGTGTCGGAGCTGCAGGAATCTGTTATGAGGTGTCTATTAATAATTGCAGATCTCCCTTCTGTAGCATCTGGGTTGCTATTGCCAACTTTCCCCCTTCCTACATTTCATTCCCATCTCCAACCAACCTGACTCTGTGGTTAGTTTGCTTGTTTGTTTGTCTATTACCTACCATATGTGCTGCATGCAATCCCCACAGGGTGAGTGGAAAGTGAATTAACTTGCTTTTGACAGGTTGGTATAGATAGTTAATGTAGCATCGCTCAGATGAGGGGTTTCTGATTGTAATTGTGGTTTTAAACGATAAATCTGTCAAAAGACCATCTCCTCCAAGCAAGACTCACCTCCGTTTTTCTTTCTGTCTCTGTCACCCGCCGCCTTTTAAATCATTTTTTATATACATGTAGAAAATGCAACAGGTTTCAGTGTAAGAAAGGAAACCCGAAATATTCCGGAGAACAGCAAACTTGTCACTTGCAAATGCTAGGTAGTCTACCCAAGTCTCAGCAGCAGCAAAGAGAGCACAATACACCCTTCGGTTTTATCTATAATGAACTATGGAACCTGATGCCAAGGGATATTATTGAGGCCAAGAGCTTACTAGGATTTCAGAAAGGTTTAGGCATTTGTATGGATAATAGGAACACCACTGGCTAGGATACACATTTAGAAGGGATGTAAAACCTCACTGCTTCTGGGATTAAGAAAAAAAAGCAGCAGCAGCTCTGGCCATCATTAACTACCTGTGGTTAGAAAAAAATGTCCTGGATATCACAGGTCTTTTCGGAACCTTACTCCCTCTGAAATCAATGGGAGTTAGGTGCCTAAATAGCTTTGAGGATTTGGGCCAAATAGCCTTTGAAGTATCTGCTACAGTCACTGTGAGAGACAGGCTACTGGACCAGACAGGCCAACAGTATGATCCAGCCCATGTGAAAATTCCAGTGCTCCTATGTTATTTTTATATATGCAGGGCCGAATTCTGCTTTCTTTCCCAACTATTCACTTCAGCACCAGTCGCACCAAGTGGCTGCGACTAACAGAATTCAGCCCAAAGTGTTTGCAGGACCCCAGAAAGAAGTATCAGTTCACCAAACATGGTCCCTCAACCAGGTCATGGTCAGATTTCCAATTAGGCACAGTAGGCACTCTAGGGGCAACTAAAAGTTAAAAGTTTTATTTTTTATGGAAAACACGAAGGTCAGCTGTAGGTGGTGGTGGGGGGGCACTGAAGATGCTGTGCCTACGGGCATGTAAGGTGTAAATCCGGCCCTGACCCAGGTTAATGGAGAGTTGTGAGCTTGGGGAATTCAGTTAGGTGTGTGGTTCTGTAAAGATGAGGAGAAGACAAATTGGCTGAGTTGTTCTAACCCATTTTCCAGCATCTTATTCTGTTTTATGCTCTTCAGGGGGATCTGGGATTTCATGCTCATGGAGAAGAACCTATGGGCCAGATGCTCAGTGGGTATGAATTGACACACATCCATCGAAGCACTACACCCATTTACACCAATGGAGGGTCTGAACTGGCATTTGATTTTTCCCGTATGGTCTCACAAACACCGCGGGGCAAATTCTGTTTATCTCAGTTACACGGTGCAACTGGGAGAGGCCGATTTGTTCCTTTGCAATGATGTGTTGCATTAACAAACCCTGGTTTGCATTTGTCCAACTGGGCCAAATTCTGCTCTCAGTTACACTGGTCCGTCCAAACTGGCTTCAACAAGGCCTGCATCCGTGTGAGAGCATCAGTGTGAGAGCAGGTTTTCCCCATGGCTCGCTGGGGTGGGTCATGGCCAGATGGACTCCAGCCCCGCCTCACTGCAGTGATGAAATCACCAGTGGCAGCCATGCTGCAGGGTAATGTGGGGGCCCCAGGCTCCCACGTGGGCCAGAATCCTGCCCCCACTCCCCACATGCGGCTGCTGTCTGGGAGCCTGGCAGCCACAGGGCACATGTGGGGAAGGGCTGTATTCTTCAACCAGGGTCTCCTGGAAACCTTCCCAGAGGGGTGAAACCATCCAGCACCACTCAAGCCCTGAAAGGCTGTGCAAAGGGGCTCGGGTGTGATGCCCACAGGTCAATTCCACCCACTGCTGCGGCCAAGGGCTGATGAGCTTTGCTCCTGCATCTGGTCTCCCTGCAGCAGGCCAGGCTGGCCTCAGAGTGCTAGCAGCTCTCCCATTCCCTCCCTTGGGTCAATCCTAGTTTCTACCCCTCAGTGTTTTATCTAGGCCCATCCCGTGCCTGTGTCATTCTCCTTATTACAGCACGGACAGCTTGCATTGAACACTGCAGTTATGGCTATAAGGGTGGGTGGTTAAGCTCTGGAACAGCCTTCCAAAGGAGGTTGCCGGATGTCTGCCACTGGAGGATTTGAAGAAGAGGTTGGGATGGTCTCTAGGTTTACTTGGCCCTGCCTCAGCACAGGGCTGGACTTGATGACTTCTCGAGGTCCCTTCCAGCCCAGCATTTCTACGATACTATTTAAACACCACACACAAATTTAATATAAGAACATAAGAATGGTCAATGGTCCATCTAGCCCAGTATCCTGTCTTCTGACAACGGCCAATGCCAAGTGCTTCAGAGGGAATGTACAGAACAGGTAATCATGAAGTGATCCATCCCCTGTCGCCCATTCCCAGCTTCTAGCAAACAGAGGCTAGGGACACCCAGAGTATGGCTAACAGCCATTGATGGACATAACAGCCACCCAGGCCAGATGCTCCCTGCAGTCCTGAGCCCCACCTTCCGAAAGGGACAATGACCTTTGCCCTCTGCAGCCACATCCACAACCATCACACATGCTCCGCACAGCATCTGGCCACCACATCACTGGGGGCGTCACGCACACATGTAGGGGACATCAGCCTCCTTATGGCTTTCCTTTCATCAGGACCCCTGGCTCCTTTCCCTCCCTCCTTTGAGCCTTTTTTATTGTCCTGCTTTCCAAGAAACAGACTGTGCATTTCCCACAACCAGTGATACCATCAGAGCAGATCACAGCACTTATGCTAATCTCTCATTAAACAAGAGACCTGACACAGATAGGGACCTTTATGGCTTAGCTCCCCAGTGAGTCCTTGACAAAGGGATCTTTGTTCCATTCTCCCAGGAGGCCTTTCACTTTCCCTAGATGGCAGTTTATTGGGGCAGGGGTGCCAGTGTCAGGCTTGTGATTTCTGGTCTAAAATCCCCCAGGGTTTCAAGGCACCTGAGGGGGAATTAGAATCGAGCTGGAAAACTACACTGCAGTGATACATGCGGCATCTCTGTAAACAAAGTTGCCATGCCCAGGAAACTGAAACAAAGTGTGTCTGTTTACTTTTGTAAAATACCCAATGATTGAAGCACTGAGAACACCATGTTATTTCCTAACCTTAACAGCTGGTCCAAAAATGGGCTTCTTTTCCATGGAAAATTTAAACTTTTTA